ATCTCACTACTGGACTTCAACGACTCTGGAAGAACAAGTGAAGTTAACAACTTTGTGAAGCTGTGCCTCAATTAAATCCAATCCATGCACGAGTCATCAGCTGTGATGTCACTGGTCCTCTTTGAAAACAAAAGATGAACAGCAACAAAAAGGAATGAGTGAAGATACCCGTGGAGGGGACTGACAATCACACCTGTGCTTATATCAGTTGGGTAGGTGGTGCCTAGAGCACTGGGCCTGTAGTTAGGAGGACCTGAATTCAAATCTAACCTTGGATACTTACTAGGTATGACCTTGATAAGTCACTTAAACTGTCTGCCTCAGTTTCCTCATGTGTAAAATGAGAATAAGAATAGCACCTTCCTCAAAGAGTTGTTGTGAGGATAAAATGAGATCTTTTTAAAGCTTAGCATAGTAACTGGTACATAGTAGGCACTTAATAAATGCTTGTTCCCTCTCTACCTTCCCTCTGTCTTTTAGGAAGATTATTTTGGTAGCTATGTGATAGCATGTGGAAAAAGGACTGGAAATGAGTTGAGGTTCTAAGCACTGAGACAAATTCTGAAGTATGCAAAGTCAAATCAGGTCAATAAGCATTTTTCAAGCATTTACCATTGTGCCAGGCACTGTGCCAAGTTCTGGGAAGACAACTAGAAGCTAAAGGAAAGACAATCTCTACTCTCAAGGATCTTACATTTTTTTTTGGCAGTTGGGGTTAAATGACTTGCCCAGAGTCACACAGCTAGTAAGTGTCAAGTGTTTGGTCTGAGGTTGGATTTGAACTCAGGTCCTCCTGACTTCAGGGCTGGTGCTCTATTCACTGCATCACCTAGCTGCCCCAAGGATCTTATATTCTAATGGAGGAAGACAACTCAGAAAAAGAAGCTGAAAACTCAGGTGGGGCAGAAGAGCATAACTAGAGCATAAGTCTGGAGAGTTAGGAGCAGAGCCTGGAAGGGAATGAAGACACGGCTGGCCTAAGCAATTTCCTTAAAAATGAAGATTCTAGGAGGACCCAACCATTCAGAGGAGGCCTCTATGGTATAGAGTGAACTTTCAGGGTGAATAGGCTGCTGGCTGCCTACAGGCAGCTGGGTAGTACAGTGGATAAAGCACTGGGCCTGGAATCAGGAAGACCTGTGTTCAAATCTGAGCTGATACTTACTAGCTGTGTGACCCTGAGTGAATCACTTAACCTCAGTTTCCTCAAATGTAATGGGGATAATAACAGGTTGTTGTGAGGATCAAATGAAAAAATATTTGTAAGGTGCTTGGTATATAACAGGTATTCTATAAATGCCTATTCCCTTCCCTGTGCCATAGTAGAAAATTCTGGACAGTCAAAAATGCAAAGCACCTTAAATATATTATTTCAGATGGATGTCACAACAATTCTGCTTTATGTGTTACTGTATTATTATTATTATGCTATAGGCACATCATTAGTCTTATTTTACAGAGGAAGAAACTGAAACTGAGAAAGTTTGGGGTGGCTTTTTATCAGTCACAGAGCTAGTGTCAGAGGATTTAAACACAGGTCTTCGTTGGTCCAAATCCAACAGTTTATCTACTACAACACACTGATTCTCCAACAAAAGTATCACCATCTGGAAAGTTGTACTCCTTATTCTGCAAAATACTTATTACATATACTGGACAAACCAGCCTACAGCTGTAGAACTTCAGAGTTAGAAAGAATGTGTCAGGGGCAGCTAGGTGGCGCAGTGGATAGAGCACCAGCCCTGAAGTCAGGATGACCTGAGTTCAAATGTGACCTCAGATCAAACACTTGACTCGTACTAGCTGTGTGACCCTGGGCAAGTCACGTAATCCCAATTGCCTAAAAAAAAAAGTGTCAAAAAAATTTAAGTTTGAATATTTTTAAATTTTAGAAGTCTGCCAGAAGCAATTTTTAAAAATTAATTTAACATTATTCTAAGTCTAAGCATTTCTAGTTTAAAGAGAGAAAGATCCAATTTGGCATAGATTCTCCCCTTTACCCCATTCCCTTGGACATGTCCCTGTAAACCAAGGCAAGTTGAGGCAACATGTATAGAATTCTTTAATAAGGAAAGTCACAGTATGCCACAAAGCTACTAATATTCCAGAACAATAGTCACTCAACCTTCAGCTAGAACCTCTCAACTCTTTGCTTGACCACTCCCATCCAGGACTGAGAGGGTTCCTTCCTGTGATCAATATCATAATTCTTAATGAATGAGAAGAGGACATTTTCTGAAAGGAAAATAGAGTGCTTCTTTTGAGTGCATCACAGACCAATGACTGTGGGCAATGGGGAAAACTAGGATCTTCTCAAGAGGTAGAAAACAGGTAAGTTAAGGCAAACTGTTGGCGGAACTGTGAACTGGTCCAGCCATTCTGGAAAGTAATTTGGAACTATGCCTAAAATAGCTACTGAAGTATGCATATCTTCTGACCCAGTAACATCACTACTAGGGTCTATACCTAGAGATCATGTAAAGAGGAAAAGGATGCGTATGTAAAAAATATTTATAGCGATTTTTTTTTAGTGGCAGCAAAGAATTGGAAAGCAAGGGTTGCCCATCCATCAGGGAATAATGGAACAAGTTATGATATTTGAATGTGATGGAAGAAATGTGCTATTGTGTTGTAAGAAATGATGGTGACAGTATAATAAATCTGGAAAGACATAAACCAATGCAGAGTGAGGTAAAATGAATGAGAACAATTTATACAATAATAATAATAATACTGTAAAGACAAACGACTTTGAAAGACTTAGGAACTCTGATCAGCATAATGACCAACCACAATTCCAGAGTACTTATGATGAAATGTGCGATAGACTCAAACCACAGATTAAGACATTTTTATGGAGATGGTCAATCAGGAATTTGTTTTGCTAGACTCCACATGTTTATAATAGAGGGAAGGTTAAAGGGAGGTGGAAGGGATAGAAAGTGGATTTTCCTTTGAAAATGAAATAAAATTTAATTATAAAAAAAAAGACAAGAGGTACCTTGGTCCCAAATTTGATTAGTACCCTTAATCTAGTTTCTTGGAAATAGGCCATTTGTTCTTGACTCAACCTACCTGTCAAAGAGGAGTACTCTGGAAAGACTTTTAAGCTGGAGAAAAATTTATTTTTAAAATATCTTTAGAAAGCTTTTAAAAAAGGTTAATATACTTCTACAGATATCAATGAACATACAGTAAAACCTATATCTGAATAGAATCTTTTCTACAACATTGCTTTTTATTTGTCTCCCATTTGGTTCCTGATTCTGGTTTTGGCTTTCTTTCTTTTTTCTAGTTCCCAAAGAGAGTGGTCAGAGGATAAGCACCGGACAGTAGTATTTTGTGAGGTCAAATCAGAGGAACTAGGAAATGAAAGTTAAATTTATTTCTATTGTTCATCTATTTGATAAATCACCAAACCAGAACCCATCAAGATCTCTATCCAAAAAAAACCAAACCAACCTTCTTTCAGGGCCTTTTCTACTCAAAGATTACAGGACAACCAGATCCTTTGTCACAAGATCTGTCTGGTTCAGAGTCCTGTGATTCTGGACAGTTCATTTAATCTGAACTGTTTCCTCAATTACACAATGGTAGTAATAAAACTTGTTACTACTCACCTCACAGGATTATTGTAAGGAAACGTTAAAGTGTCATACAAATGTGAGTTCTTATTAATACTGCCTGAGGCAGAACTAAAACTCCAACCCACATCTTCTGACTCTTTCAAGGCCATTTAATTCTCTCCCTGAATGCCCTTTCCGATTCATAGCCTCTAGGGAAGGAACACACTAGGTCATTTTACTAGCCGACATTGATTTCCCAGGTCCCTGAAACTCAGTTCAGCACAACAGGAGAAAGAAAGCTCATCCAATCCCAACAGCTAGTAGCAGTAGGAGCATTTCCTAATAGTAGCTAGCATTTATATAGGCCTTGAAGGTTTGCAAAGTGCTTTACAAATATGATCTCAGTTTATTCTCACAGCATCCCAGGGGGAGGTGCGATTATTACCCCCATTTTACAGATGAGAAAACTGAAACAGACAGAAGGTAAATGAGTTGCACAGAATCAAACAACTAGTAAGTATCTGATAAGTCAAATTTAATCTCAGCTCTTCCTCTCTCCAGGTCTAGCATTGTTTCCACCTAGCTTCTAGATAGCTTTCATGAGCGGCCAGGTGTTTCAACCAGAATTAAAAAAAAAACTTAGCTGGGTGTGAACTCAGGTTCTATCATCCACTAACTTCCTCCGTGGTCAAATTATTTCCCCTCCAGGAGCCTCAGTTTCTTCATCTGTAAAATTAGTTTGGACCAGATGATTCCTTTCCAGCTCTAAATACTAGGACTTACTTCTGTTATGTTCTTGGCGGTCCATCTGGTCCAATTCCATTTCAATCCAACAAACATTTATTAAGAAACTTATTATAAAAGCATTTAATACAAAAAAAAATTTATTAAGCGCCTACTATGCACCAGGCACTGGGCTACAAAGAAGGAAACTGAGGACCATAGGAGTGCCAAGGTCGCGCAGGTAAAAAGCGGCAGAGCTGGGGTTTGGTACCCCGATTTCCCGTCTGCGAGTTTTTGAGACCCAAGCTTGGGGAAGGTAAAGGAGTATCCCCCAAAGTGCCTCCCAGGTGCGCCCCGGACCAGCAGAGAGAGAGAAAGCTCACACAGCTTCTGCAGTATACGGCAAAAATCTTAGGCCTGGGTCCGCTTGCTTCCCACTCCGAAGCCACGCCCCCAGCTCCGGGCCAGCGTGAGCCAGCTACACTCTGATCTCTGGTATTGTACTTTCGCGCTTAGGTAGGAAAAGGGGCGGGACGTCGGAGAGGGCCGGGATTGGGGAGAAGGAGGGAGGGGCGCGGTGACGCGATACGCCGGATGCCGGAAGTGACGCGCTCTCAGGAGGCGGGGTGGGGGAAGGGGAGGGAACGGCACGGGGCGGGGGGGGGGTGGCGTCCCCGGCCGGTTGGGGGGTGCGTTGCCCGGAGACAGAAAGTTTGGGATCCGGAGCGGGCGCAGTGGCCCCGGGGCGGGGTGCGGGGGGTCCGGGGAGGAGGACGGCGGCCCCGGTAGAATGGGGAAGGAGCAGGAGTTGCTGGAGGCGGCCCGCACCGGGCACCTCCCGGCGGTGGAGAAGCTGCTGTCCGGGAAGCGGCTCTCTTCGGGCTTCGGCGGCGGCGGCTCCGGCGGCGGCTCCGGAGGCGGCGGCGGCCTGGGCTCCTCCAGTCACCCCCTCTCCAGTCTCCTCAGGTGGGTGTGAGCCTCGCAGGAAGGGGGGGGTGGCGCGCGGCGGGCCTCCCCCCTCCCCCGCGCGCCAGAGGGAGGGGGAACCCCAGGGAGGCCCGAGCACCTGGGGCGTGGGGCAGGAGGAAGGCGGAGGTTCCCACCCCCACCCCCGCACCTTCCTGCACGCACGCACTTTCCAGGGAGCCGAGGCTCCGGAGCCCAGCGGGGCAGGCTGAGAGCAGCGGGCTCGGGTCCGGCCCTGGAAGCTGCGTGGTCCAGTGCATGCCCCCTGGAGCGTCAGCCAGGGTCCTCCCGGGTGTGTGCCTGGAGAGGGGATGCACTTCATTCCTGGGTGACCTTGGGCAAGTTACTCAGTCTTTGGGCATGGGGACTCATTTTCCTCAACTGTCATGTAACTGAGTTGCACCAGGCAGTCTGAGGTCCGTCTCTCTCTGCTCTAAACCCTGTGGCGGCTGATTTGGGTCAAGTCTCCGAGCCTCACTTTTCTCATCTGGGGAAATCGATGATAATTGAGTTACCTCTACTCGATGGGTCGTTGTGAGGAAAGGGCTTTGGAAACCTTAAAACACCATAGCAATGTGAGCGCTTACTGTATGCCATGTGCTTACTGCCAGGTTTATCAGTCTGTCGGCAGTTGTGAGGTTGAGGCTGTGCCCGAGTGGCACCCTCCACCTCATGGCACGGCTTCCTCTATGTCCGTTATGGGTCATCAGCTGTCACATTTATCAAGCTGCTTCCTTTGCTACCCAGATGCAGAATCTACTCTTTCCTCCCAGTGGGAATTTTGTTGATTCTGTTCTCTTAGGAAGACCTAACCGCCTACCTCCTCATCTTGCTCAATATGATCTGTCTCTTGTTGCATGCTTATGCGAAGATTGTTGAATTGTCTTTGAGTCCATCAAGTTTAGTGTGTTTTTCTTTTAACTCACTGTAAATATAAAACATTTTGAATTCTCCACACTGAACCACACTAGGGTATTGTACCTTTAAGGATTAATCACTGAGCTCGCTTATCAAAGGAGAGAAATTGAAAGACATTCAGAAAAATAGGGAAGTTAAACTTTCACTGAGACTTTTTAAGTATGAGTAGATGATAGCTGAAACGATTATTTAAAAAAAAGCTTTTTTTGTGACTAGAAGACAATTTGGGGTGCTTTGTCATTGTGTGCAAAATTTGATAGTGATTCAGCAGCTTTCTTTTGTAGCCTGGGTTCTTTTCCTTCCCCGTTTTTTTTTTTTTGAGGTTTTAAGAAGTGGAAGTTCATTTAGAAATGGCTTTGTTAGCTTGTGTTTCCTCATTAGTCTTTTTGTTGTAGTTGTTTTCACTTGTTTCAAATGTGCCCAATTTAATTTAATCTACAAGTATTTATTGAATACCTTCTGTGCCTAGCATTTTACTAGGTACTTTGGGGGTATAAAAGTATAATTGCCCTACCTCTTCGTCCCCTTTCAGAGACAAGATTAAAATGGAACAGATGAACTAAAAGAGTACTACATAAAACTCCATTGACTCCCAATTGCCTTTAGTATGGAATAAACTCCATTTGTATTTAAAGCTCTTTACAATCTGGCTTCAGCCGGCCTTTCCAAACTCACTACACATTACTCTTTCATACGTTTATCTTCCAGCTAAACGTTCTGTTCTCATGCATGGCATTCCATCTGCTGCCTCCATCCTTTACCTGTGCATCCTTTCTGCCTTCCTCATTCTTGCCTCTTTGAATCTCTTGTTATTGTTTGGTCTTTCAATCCCCAGTGCCTAGCAGTGTCTGGAATGTAATTTAAGTACGATAGGATGTCAAAAGAGGAAAAGTTGTGCTGAGCAAGTTGGTCAGGGAAATCTTCCTAGGAGATGAGGGTCTTAGGTTGAACCTTAATGGATAGGTAGGATTTGGATAGTTGATGGGGAGAGAGATTGTGGCATTCCAGATGCTATTGGGAAAATAGTAGTAAAAATAGGGAAGTCTTAGTTGGTGATTGTAGGGCAGCTAGATGGCCCAGTGGATTGAGTTTGAGACCTGGAATCAGGAAGACTCTTCTTCCTGAGTTCAAATCTGGCCTCAGACACATAGTAGCTGTAGGACCCTGGGAAGTCGTTTAACCCTGTTTGCCTCAGTTTTCTCATCTGGAAAATGAGCTAAAGAAGGAAATGGCAGAGTATTCCAGTATCTTTGCCAAGAAAACCCCAGATGGTGTCATGAAGAGTCAGACACAATACCAACAACAGTTGGTGATAGTGTGAGCCAGGGGGCATTAAAGAGAGGTCTTGGGGCAGCTAGGTGGCTCAGTGGATAGAGCACTGGCCCTGAAGTCAGGACCTGAGTTCAAATCTGGCCTCAGACCAAACACTTGACACTTACTAGCTCTGTGACCCTGGGCAAGTCACTTAACCCCAGTTGCCTAAAAATAAAAAAAAAAATTAAAGAGACAGGCCTAGTTGTATTAGAAGGTATGATTTGTGTTGTAGAAAACAAAGTTGGATAGGTAGGTGTCCAAGGTGGGTGAACTTTTACTCCAGAAGAATTGTGAAGTATTGAGATATTTGGCAATGATACCATAATTCCCTAGAATTATTTATTAGTATGAGATGTAGCAGAATCTCATAAATTTCTCAGATTCAAGTACAGATACAGTCACATGCCAGTCACAGACAGATACCACTCTGGTTTGTGGTATTTTATGAGAATTCACCTTCCAAATGATACAACAAGACTATGAAATTACAGTTGAGCTCATTTTGTGCTATTGTGGTTGGCATTTTGTCTTCTTGTTAAAGGGTGGGTGTTGTCTTCATTCCTCCAGACTAAGATAGGGCTTACTTGCTCATTCCTCTGTTGATATGATAATAGAGATACTTAAGTGTTGCTCCAGACTCTTCCCATGGCTCCTAGGGGCAGAGATGATGATGCTTTAGTTACTAGTTATGCCAGGTGTATCATTAATTATGACCTTCTTAAAGATGTCTCTGATTAAAAGTATTGAAAGATTTCTTACCAAATGAGAATGTAAACTTAAATATTACCTAGGTCAGTGATTCTTTCTCCCTTTTGTGTAGAAATGTTAGAGGGTATGCTTTTTCAAAACCCTTGCATTTGCCCTACCACATAATCAAAGAACTGTCAAGTCCACTTTGCTTTGTTTTTTCATAACTCCTTTCTTTTCCATCCTCTTTTATCACTTCTCTACTCCCACATTCCACTGCCCCCTTACATCACTTCTCCCCCAACCTCTAATTGCAACTTGGTTCTTTTACTTTTGGAACTGTGATTTCATCTGTTTATCTACACCTGGCTATGTATCTGTGTATCTATCTGCTTATCTATCTATCTATATATATATACAGATATACATACATGAGCACACGCGCGTACACACACACACACACACACACATATGTTGATAAAATCCTAGTGAGGAAACTCCCTTTTCTCAGGCAAATTGCAATTTATAGTCTTTGGGAGTTGCCTATGGGCACTGAGAAGTTAAGTGACTTGCCCAGAGTCACTGAGCTACTATGAGGCGGAAGTCATACTTGAACCCAGGTCTTCTTGACCTTGAGTTTGGCTTTCTGTCCACTCTGCCATGCTGCCTCATACATAAACAATATGTTTTTCAGTCTGAAATAAGACTTTGCAGACCTGGCTTGAATCTATGATTACACATATGTGAATTTGACCTAGCTCATGCTTTGGGCACACTTGAGTTTATTAGTCTGTGTTCCAACCTCTAACCCTTTGTCTGTATACTTACTGTCAAATCTCATCTAATCCTAGAAGACTCCAGGGTGACATTGATACTGTCTTTAACTTTTTTTTTGCACATCTTTGCTACAGTATCACTTCCCACCTGCACTTTTTTTTATCCTTTTAGATTCTAATTGTGCTACACAATTTAGCACTTTATAACATCAGTATGTAATTCTGATATACAGTAACACTTTACTCTAGATGTAGCTAAGGATCAGGAAGAAAAGCAGCCAAAAATAAATGTGAAGTATTAAAGTCCACTCTCTTTACTCATAGGGGAGCCCCTCAGAATCTTGCCAGAAGTCTCTTTACTCTCATTTTACACTCAGCTCTGACAAACTTGTTTATGTGGTTTCCAAGTACATAGCAGATTAAAATAACAACTTAGAAACTGGAAAGGGGCTGCCATAGGCAGCCATACAAGCAACAGCAAGAAATAACTATTCTAAATTTAACAGAAAAACATTTAAAAAAAGTAGATGCAGGCATTCAAGAAGTACAATGCTTTGGGGACATTTAGTGTTGGGGGAAATAGTCTGTATATAACAGTGTTCATAAAAATCCTGAGTCTTCAAGAAAAGGTTAAATTCAAGTCACTGTATTTTGCTTAAAAATATTTATATTCAAATTGATTACACTTTTAAACAAGTCTTCTTTTAAAGGGATAAACTCTTTGCTGTCTAGAAAAGGGGTTTGTTTTTTATCAAGGAGATCGTATTCCGTATGGATTTGGTGTAGCTCAGATTTTACTATTTATAAAATACTAATTGTTTTACAAATATCACCATTTACTCCTTAGTTGTATTGGACAGTTTGGTAGGTAGAGGCTGTGGATTGTAATAATTTTGATTTCAAAGTGTCTGACTGATTACTTGGTACATAGCAGGCACACATTTGATCCTTATTTGGAGAGCTTTATTAATTGTCTAGTCAGACTACTGAATTTATAGAAAAATGGAATGCAAATGCAGAAAGATTTGGGTTTAACTGAAAAGTGGCCAGGTGAAAAAGAGAAAAACTCTGGCTATGAAAAAAACTAAAATCATAAATCAAGACGTTGATGTGAGTAAGGGAATGATAGGTAAAATAAAGTAAACTTTAAGATTCCAGAAGCAGGGAGAAGTTAAATCAAACATAGGAGTTCAGGAAGGCTGACAAGAAGATTGTTATAATAGCCTATGAAAGGATTGGATCTGAAACATTTAACCCGACATTTTTTTTAAAGGCCTTCAATGTTTAGAGCCAAATACTGAGAGA